CTGGCCTAGGGGATTTTATAGGGGTTTTAATTACTTTTAATTGGACATATTCAAATATTTCGTTTTAATTAAATTTTTAATTAGGCATAATATGTATATATGTTAGTATTTTATCTAATTTGTCAGCCGCCCTGAGTCCGAAAGGAGAAGGGCGGGATATAAATGCAATTAATAATAATAATAATAATAATAATAATAAAAGGTTCGCCATCACTGCCCTACACCGTGAAGGACTGAAATCCTGCAGCACCAACAAGATCACCCTGCTCAAGAAAGCACATGTACAGGCCCGTCTGAAGTTTGCTAATGAACATCTGAATGATTCAGAGGAGAACTGGGTGAAAGGGTTGTGGTCAGATGAGACCAAAATCGAGCTCTCTGGCATCAATTCAATTCGCTGTGTTTGGAGGAAGAGGAATGCTGCCTGTGACCCCAAGAACACCATCCTCACCATCAAACATGGAGGTGGAAACATTATGCTATGGGAGTGTTTTTCTGCTAAGGGGACAGGACAACTTCACCGCATCAAAGGGATGATGGACGGGGCCGTGTACCGTCAAATCTTGTGTGAGAACCTCCTTCCCTCAGTCAGGGCATTGAAAATGGGTCGTAGATGGGTATTCCAGCATGGCAATGGCCCAAAACACATGGCCAAAGCAACAGTGGCTCAAGAAGAAGCACATTAAGGTCTTGGAGTGGCCTAGCCAGTCTCCAGACCTCAATCCCATAGAAACCTTAATGACTTGGAGAAGATCTGCAAAGAGGAATGGGACAACCTGGTGGTCAACTACAAGAAACGTCTGACCTCTGTGATTGCCAACAAGGGTTTTGACACCAAGCACTAAGTCATGTTTTGTGAAGGGGTCAAATACTGATTTCACTCATTAAAATGCAAATCAATTTATAACTTTTTTGAAATGCATTTTTCTGGAAATTTTTTGTTGTTATTCTGTCTCTCACTGTTAAAATAAACCTATCATTAAAATTAAAGAGTGATCATTTCTTTGTCAGTGGGCAAACATACAAAATCAGCAGGGTTAGATCAAATACCTTTTTCCCTCACTGTAATGTGTAGCTCACAGAATAGTAAGAATAAGAATTAGGCAGTTTACAATTATAATACGGAATCTAAATAATGCATTTTAATAATGAGCACATGCCTTGTATTGTTATATTTCCTCCTGCATATATATTTATATGAAAGACAAGACATAGCATAACTAAGCATACAGATGTAGATAGAGCTGATTCCTCAGAATGCTAGTTTACTGCAGTAAGTAGAAATATTTAGACAGTTCCATTTCAGCATCCCAACACAAACACTGTAGTATAAATATTAGTGAAGAGTCGCTCCTGTTCTTTTATTATGAAATGTTTTTAGAGTACATCTTAAATCAGAGTTTGACAATCCTGACCTGTGGGCACAATGGGGCACATATAATTTCTCTGACAGTGTTCCAAATTAAATAAAAATTAATTTATTATGAAATTATAATATATATATATATATATTCAGAGACTGAATATCCCAAAATTCTGAGGTTCCACCTGTCTAGAGGGCAGTAACTAACAGGTAACCAGTGGTCTTCAGTGCACAGTTGAGAACCATTACTACTTTATTTAAAAATGAAATGGTATACTGTACATGTTAGGAGAAAACCAGAAGGTCGTGGAAATATTTTTGGAAAATAATAAGAAATGTAGAGATTTGGGTTCTGTATAAAAAAATAGGACAGATAATAAATAACTGTTTGTTCCAACAAAACAAAAAAAACACCTTCATGTAAAACACTTCAGAGATGAAACAGTGTGAACACTACAGTCCATTCTATACTCATACTATCAATCACATTCAAAAGGATTGCATCAGACTCCTGGAATGCTGAAGTCCACATATTTGCTATTCAGCATGCAAACTGCTATTCAGGTTCAATCAGCTATAAATGTTGCTTTGTTTTAATTTTCCACTGAACTTCCTGGAACCTATTATCAGACTGCCAGATATGTGTATTTAGCAATGGCGACATGTCCTTTTCTCCATTGCTCCAATGTCACCTCCAATGAATAGACACATATAACCCAACTAGCAAAAGACACTCGACTTTTAGCGTTGTTTATAACTCTTCAGTGAAACTTGAATCTACAGCAGTGGTTCTCAACCTTTTTAATGCCGTGACCCCAATGGTCATAAGTCAAGGACTAAACCGGTCGTACGTCGAGGACTAAACCGGTCGTAAGTTGAGGACTACCCAACCGGTCGTAAGTCGAGGACTTTCCCTGCCCGGGAACGCCGCACATGCGTGGTTCTGCCCCCTGCGCCGGCTGAGGCGTAGCTGGCAAGCGGCAGAGACGGAGCAGGCCGACCACCAGCTGGCCCAGCCCAAGGGAGGTAAGGCACCCGCCGGAAAAGGGGAAAAAAATGGCGGACAAAAAAAAATGGCGGACAGCCTTGCTTGGCGACCCCCATGAAATGGTCGATCGACCCCAAATGGGGTCCCGACCCACAGGTTGAGAACCACTGATCTACAGGATGATAACTGCATTTTTAACTCTTCAGGAAGAAATTCAGGACTCAGATCTTTCTCTTAGTCATATATCTAAAGTATTTCCTCTTTGTTTGTAAGTTATTTGCATTTCAAAATTTCTACTAATGGTTCCCACGTTGCTTGTAAAGTTTTCCTTAAAAAAAAAAAACATTCAGAATAAATTTCCCACAGAATACCAACCTACCTGCATATGTATTCCAGCACAATTCAGAAAACAGATTTACTTTAGGGAATCCAGGAATTGCAGTATTAAACGGAATAATTAAAATCACAATAGCACTCAATTATTTTCTTTTCCGTTTTGCGTTACCTTAGCAAGGAAAGTTCTAGTGAACTTTCTAGAAAGTTCTAGAAGCTTGGAAAGCAGTGTTTCTATACGGTACTGTGAGAGACCTCCTTTGATGAAAGGAATGAATGAAAGAGTGGCTTTGAAACAATGAGAAAAAAAACACATTTGATTTTATGATTAATGGAAACTCCTCTTCATGTGTAAATTGTATAATTAAAATTATGTCGCATACATATAGCTGCCCAGTCAACGTATAGGGGAGATGGGCGGCCTAAAAATATAATAAATAAATAATAAACTTGCCTTAAAATGTTTGCCTTATTTTTACTTGCATTTAGAAAACTGTGGCATAGAGTTCACTGCTTCTAATTCCAAAACTGGTGACTTAGCCACTAGACCAAATTGGCTCTCTTATCATAATAATCTCCTTCCTTTTCCCCTTTGGACCTATTCATTTTTCCCAAACTGCTATTATTTGGTGACTACACAATACTCAATGCCTATCAAGAGCAACAACCTTTCCCACTCCTATCTTAAACATGCTCAGAAGAAATCTCATCTCATTCACAGAGTAAGTCTGGGTGGTGTATAATT